ACGTTAGGAAACAAAACTTCAAGACCACGGCCACACAGCCCGGAAGACCCACACGAGCCATCGTATGCCGGCCGTGAAAGCCTTCGACAATACATTGCAGGACATTGTTTGAAAAATGCATGCACAGGTACAAAATATAACATAAATTTGAAGAATTTTAGTATAATAATAGCCATAAAGGCCAAAACAGCAGGGGACCATCTGGGGAATTCTATTCTGTCTTATACTTGGAAGAGTAGCAATAGGAATTTTATGGCTTAGGAGTTGAGAGCATACTATTACTGCTATTCTCCCAAAGCATTTCTTCGTATTTTCACTGTTGGGGAGGAGATTCCAGGATTCAAGGAGGCCAAAAGTGATTGGGGACTCCTATTCTTTCTGATATCCTCTGTCTCTATACCTCTGTCTTCCATGCAGCAGTGAATAAAATAATTCTTACCAAAACTGAATTGATCTCTTGCATGGGAAGACTGAAATTAGGCTAAGGTCTATATGAAATCACTTGTATCCCTAGTTGCTCAGCCCTTTCTTACAGATAAGATGGTGCAAATAGGTCAAAACCTGGTGATTGATTTATGCTTCTGTTACTGCTATAAACCAAACTCTTGGTTTCAAAGCAGCAATTAAATGTAATAGGTTCAAGCTGCTAATGTACAAAGCTGTTGCATTGGTAATTCCCTTGAATTCAATGTTCCTATCAGAATATCAGTATCAGCTGCTGTGCAGCTTCAGAATCTATGATTCCCTAAAATAGGGCATAAGTAGTTCCACATTGACAGATGCATTCAAATCATACAGAGTTTCTGAGATCAAGTGGTAGCATATACCTTCTGTACAGGAATCAATCCAAGATGGAAGAGTGGTTTGCATGGCTAAAGGAGTACTTTATTTGAAAATGGTCACAGTGTTTCCACTTCTGACCAGTACATGGCAACTATTCTTTAAATCACCCTACCAATATATACATTCTATGATGAATGCCCCAAGGTGGCCAAGAGATAGAAGATACATTTTACTTAGTCTTAGAAGTAGCGATTGCATATACAACATACTCATTATTTTAAAGAAATTGTAGATATGTAATCCTTTGCATGTCTTATAACAATTATGTGAGGATGAGAAGAGAAATAGCAGCAGCACAGAGGAACAGATACCATGATTAGTTTTACTAATATACTGTCTAACTCATGCAAATGCTGTAGGAAAGGCAGCTGAGAGAGGAGGAGACTTCTTCCTATTCAAGAAGGGTGTCTGAGCTAGCATTAGGAAGAGAGAAAGAACGGCAACTTAAGCTGGGACTTACCTACTTGAAGACTCTGTTACCGAACCTAAGACGGAAGGTTCTTAAAGCCCAGGAACAGGTTGTAACATACTTATATTTTATGTAAACCAAATTCCACTGGCAGAATATAGATGCTGCTGCAATAGAATGCTAAACACAGCTTCAAGGGTTCAAACAAAGGATGTGACTATTAAACCCAAACACAAGAGCCAGTATAAACTCTCTTTCTGTACTAGGGAATTCTAGTAATATCCCCTTGGATTTTACAGAGAGTCAAAATTAAATTTAAATTAAATCAAATTTAGTTTTTATCCTGATCTTACTTTGTGGAATGTGGTTCCTGGTATGCCATTTGACAGTCTAAGTGTTATCCTCAACCTGAAAAAGATTACACTCATTTGGCATATCAATTCACTCATACATGAAGCATGCTTAAGACCATATACAATTTTACCAGCACAATTAAGGATAAAATTAAGATAGCCTTTGAATCATTGTCTAAAATAATGCTATTACAAGAAGTGCCAGTAAATGTAACATGCATGTAATGTAAATGTATTAATATATCACTTTTGAACAACCTTGCTTATTCCTTTAAAATCAAGGAAGCCTGTGATCAAAGCATGTTAATTAAGTAGAAATTTTTAAAATGAAACTGAGGTTTAGACACTAATACATTTTAAAACCATTGCAAATAGGTACTTCATCTACAAGAAAGAAAATCTATGGATCACAAAAGGCAACATCTTCAAACACAACTAATTGATTTAGAAAATCAACACACCAGAGTGCAACTGGAAAATTCTAAACTGAGAACAGAGAAATATCATTGGGTGGAACATATTTCTCAAATACACAAACAGGTATCTGTGCTATGCTTAATCAACATACTTTTTATTATATGCTTTCTATGATGCTTTTAATATTTTGAAACCACACACAGAATCTTTGTAATTGGCTCCACCTATTTAATAATTGTCTAATATAAGATGCAGCAAACAACCCATTATGACCCAAACTAAGTATTTGTGAAATCTGAAATTAGAGAGCTACATACAATTCTGTGAGTCATGTGGTAGAAGCACCTGTAAAAAAATTGTAAGGTTGCTATTTGTTATTGTAAGAACTGCAGGGTGAGTGGGGAGGGGAAGAACTAAAAACAACCTATGCATTCATGGCTGCAATTTAAACAAGTAGGTGAACTGAGATTACAAAATTCACTGATCAGGTTTTAGTTGCTAAATTGCTTCAAAGAGGGATTCATAAGTGATTATGATTAGTGATGGCAGTTATGTGGAACCTTCATGTACAGGGATAACATGCCACTGAATATGAGATGCTGGGATAAGCAAAGGGCAAAGCCTTTGTGTTCTGCTGGATTTCTTTCAGAGGCATGTAGTTGGTTTACAGTGTATGCCAAGTTGAAATCTGTTCTTTATAAAATGGCCTGAGGCTTTTAGATATATAACTTACAATGACAAGAGTTTGTCAACACTAGAACTATCCATAATCCTGCAGTATGTGACCTGTAGTGTGATCTGAAGTTCATCTAAGTCCTGTTAATAAACCCCTTGCTTAAGTGTGGATATTTTGGTCCACTCCTCTTTACAAAACTACTTCAGCTCATGGATGTTTGGGGGCTGTCTTGTGTGAACTGCTCACTTCAGGTCATGCCATAACATTTCATTTGGCTTAGAGTCAGCAATTCCAAAATGCAAACACTCTTCTCTATCAGTCTTTCTGTTGTAGATTTGTTTGTTTAGGATCATTTTTGTGCTGCATGACCCATATTTGTTTAAGCTTTGGCTCACAGAGACATACTAATGTTTGGTAATGGACCTCAATGTCTAAAAGCTATCCAAGTCCAGAGGCAGCCTCTTGCTCTTGGAGTGACATTTATTCAACAGCCATTCCTGAAAAGAGTAACAGCATATACTGTTATACTATAAATGGAGAAAACGCAATACCATTAACTGCCTGACCATGGGTGATAGGAAGCAAAGTTTCAGTAAGCCTTTTTTTAGTCTTTTCTAGTATGAGCATCAATAACCCTTTTTGTGAGGTTCATGGAGATCTCTGGATCAAGACGTTTCATTTTCATAAACTTGTTTCATAAACAGCAGGTTCTGATGGGGCAACCAATGTGTGTGTTCTATCTTTTGTGGGAAAGAGCGCTTCAAACTCACACCTGATAGTCATCTGATCAATGGAGTATCCGTTGAAAAAGCTGACTGTCCTAGGGCCTTAATACTTTTTCCAACAAAATCAGTGAATGTTGGCTCAATGTATTCAATAAAGACATGACACAATACACTCTCTTTGTGAATTCTTTATTAATAGAACCTTGATGAAGCTCTGATCACATTGTCACTTTGAAGGTCACAGTACTGCAGAATTACAGATAGTTTGAAGGATTCACAGACTTTCCCTCACCAGTGTATAGTATTTTGTTATTGTACTAACAAGCAGATCCTTGAACCTGTTTTACCTAGTAGGGTTCACTTTTCAGCTAGCTTCAGCTTCTGTTGTTTTTTCCTTGACATGTAAGTGTAGAAGTTAGTCAGCCATGGAAGCTCACTGGATGATTTTGGGTCAGTCTTTCTCAGCCTAACCTAATTCACAGGCTTGGTTCCTCTTCACGCTGAGCAGGTTGCAAATAGTTTAAGGATGAGGCAAGCGAGGGATGGAAAGTAGTTGCCAAATCAATCTTCCTGATAGGGTACCTGAACTATGAAGATATTTTCCCCACACTAGAGATGCCTTTATTAAATGTCTTGGGAGAATGGATGTATCCATTTCAGAACGGGAAAGTTCATCTCCTTCCGACTTTTTTAGAGTCTGTAACAACTACAGTAGCAAATTCCAGGACTCAGCATCAAAAACTTTGATGGTATCTTAAACCGCATTAAGTATTGTGATACAAGCTTTGTGGACTAGCATCCTCATTTACTGCACAAAATTCAGTAGATAATGTTATAGTCTCTGAAACTTTATATTGTGATTAAAAATTGTTAAGGGCCCAACCAAACTTTTTGAAAGGGACAGGAGTAATCTAGTCTAACTCCTTGCTCTGTACAAGATCTGCTAAAGCATTTAGACAGTTGGCTATTCAGCCTGTTTGAAGACTTGCAGTGAAGGAAACATACTTCATATCACTGGCTGACAACTCTTACGATAAAGAACAAAAAGTAGCATATATAGCTAATAAGTAAAGTCTAATCTGACTCTATGTCCAAGAGATTTCAACCCATTGGTTCCGGTAAAACAGAATGAGTCCACTCCCTTCCTTTTCTGACAACCCTTTAGATATCTGAAGATTATTTTATCTCATCTCAGTGTTCTATTTTGCAAGCTAAACATATCCAGGTTCTTTAACCGTTCCTTGTAAGACTTAATTTCCAAACCCCTCGTTTTGGTAACTCTATGAATTTGCCTATTTGTTTAGAATGTGGTGCCCAGAACTGGACACAGTATTCCAAATGGCCGTGATCATGGCACAGTAGAATGAGACCAGAATCTGAATTCCATGCTCCTGCTAAAACATCCACATATAGCATTTATCATTTTTAGCAGCCCTGTTAACTTCTGTTCAACTTGTGATTTCCTAGAATATACTTTTTTCATGTTCTTGTCCCCTACCTATGGGCTTTAGTATTAGATATGAGAAAATCATACAGCTAGAAACTTGCTTTTAAATGTTTCTTCAAAATGCTCAGTTCTACAGGTTCTACTGAATTATGAGTGTGTAGGTACTCCTGAAAGAACATTTATTTTTCTGAGTTTATAGATGAGAAGTATGTTATATTTTGCTGAAATCAGGTCACGTCAAATATCCCATAATTACATATATAATTAAATATTAAGATTAATTTTAGTACATTTATTGCAATATTCAGAATTAACATTTTTCCTATTACACAGATTGCTGAAAACGAGAAGGAAATCAGTTTTCTGCACAGCCATGTTTATACCTTGTCCTGTGATCTCAACAACTTGAAATCTGAAGTCAATATGGCCTCTATTCCTCAGAAGGAAAAAGGGAAAGATATCTCCAATATATTAACAGCAAACTGTACTTCAATGAACTAATGTTGGAAACAGTTAATTTGCCCTTATATAAAGATCATGTTTTTAAAAGTTTCTTTAAATCAAGTTGTATTTTATACATGGTACTATTTAAAAAAAAAAATCCTAGAGAAATTACTGTATATCTGAAGATAAATTAAACTAGGTCTTTTGTTTCAGTCAGTATTTTAAGTATTTGTATATTTTCAAGATAGTAAATGTTAATTTCAATATATTTTTTAAACCTTTTGGTTGTTCATGGATCAATTATCAGTGCCAGTGAAAAGAATAGGACTTGCATGATATCCTTACTGACATAATTATGTTCAATATACAACAAAACTCTGTATTGTTTTCACAATCAACCATCTCAAAGTGAAAATAAATTATCTATTTTAAAAGTCAGAATTCTTTCCAAACTTTGCTTCCTGTAAAAGATCAGGTGCATTAACTCTTCACAATATCTCTAATGGATAAGTGCCATCTGAATCACCCCATTCAACAGACATTTATCTGTAGAGTCCAAATTACCCCATTTATTTTCTAGAAAAATAAAGAGGGGAAATGTAAGCCTTTGGTATGTGGAAGGTTCAATCTTACAGCATTACGAAGAGAAGAGGTTAGTGCCATTTTGATGTTGTTCTTGTACACATTCTACACAATTCTCTCTACAGCACCAATTCCATAAAGAATCTACTTAGTACAGCCATGTAAATAATTTGGAAGGGCACTTCAATTCCCACAACTTTGCAAGTAGGATCCTATAATTCTGTAGGTTCTATTTGACTGCTTCAAAGGTCTTCCCACATCACCTGTTTTTCTTCACAGGCAGTTTCAGCAGAACTTTTGTGCACACAAATGCATGAACAGCCAAGCTGAGAAAGGGTCTATACTGAATCATTGGGTTCAGTGTTCCTGTTCGCTTGAAGAGTTGCTATGATTGAATCTTTCCCTGCCCCAACCCCAATTAATTGCCCAGTCCTAGAACTATGTTTAGCAGTTCTACTTGGTCTATCTTCTAATGAACAAGACATACATATTTATTAATGGTGTTGAAATTGGGACAAGAGTGCAGAAATTAAGATTGCTGTTTGGGATGATATGCATATTAAATTAAGGGTTCTCAGGTTGTTCTGACAGGCAGAACACCATTATAAGAAAAGATGACACGATTCAAAATGTTCAACTTAATAGTTAGCTAAATGCGCATCCTGTCAGAAGTATTTGGTGGATTTCTACCATACACTTCTGCATAGATAGAAGCACCCCTACCATGCTAAAAAACATATTTAATATATTTTAAAATGTTATAAAACCCTGCAGACATAAATGAAGGTAAACTGAGATTCAAAGGGGCTTACATACGCTAATTTGATTCAAAATTAAATAGGTAAGCAAATTTGTGATTTTAAGGCTAGTAGCCAGTCTAAGCAAAACAGCAAAGCAAATACCTTATAATCACACTCCTAGAGACAGATTTCACCATAATTCTTGTAAAGCTACAAATGAAGCCCAGAGCTATACTAAGGCACATACCCTTAGGAGGACACTGAGGAGATACCCATCTATATTATTTCTTGCAGTTTCTTAAAACTGTATGCAGTAGCTTAAAATATTTAAATACATTTTAAACTATGGACATTATTCTTTTTATTATGCTTCAGATTTTTACACTTGTAACTTTTTAAATTACCATATTTTGCTTTAGTTCTGTACATTTTTCATACTGTAACTGTATTTAGAAAGTAAAGCTTGCATAAACAAACATGCCTCGTGGCTGAAGGCTTATAGTGTTTTCCTGTGTGTAGGTCTATTTTGGAAAATTGCTTAATAGTAATATAACTAAACCCCCCCCCCATCCCAGCTCACTGCTTTGGTAAATCAATCCCCCAAATCCAAGAAGCTGGATGATTAAATAAAGGTACTAGATGGGTTGGTTTTTAATAGCAGTGCAGAAGTTGCAGCCCATAACATAGCTCCCAGAAATCTAAGCCAGTTTTGAGGATTGGTGTGAGATGCTGAAGTTAGGGTTCAACAACAACTGATTCTTAATCTCTGGTTTATAAACAAGAACTTTTTTGCAAAATATAGATTGCCACAAAATTTGTCTTCCAATTAATCATAACCAATAAAAAGATCAGTCTACAGAATCAGTTGTTTAAAATTCAACAGCTTTCCCTGATAAAAGAATCTTGATAATGCTTGTTTTTTTAAAGGAACAGCTAAAATGCAACACTTAAGATTTAGCTAAAAAACAAACAAAAAACACCTGACTAGAGATGCAAAATGCACAACAATTTATCCCAAGCCAACAAAAAAACCTGAATGCATCTACAGATTTTTCTTTTTAAAAAGATAGCCCGAACAAATCACAACAATTCTGTAGTGTACCAAGTGTATATTTCAATTTACTGTATTTAATCTAACAACAGATTTGGTCATAATTTACCAGATATACACAAATGATTTAAGTAGCAAAAGGAGATTCAGTTTCAAGAGAGTAAGTAAAATACATTAAGAATGTAAAGCCAGGTCCAGTTTAAGCATTAAGTGAGTAGTATGCTATAATAAAGCAGATTTAGGTGATTTCGGCAAGATAGGTAGATCAATTGTAAACTATTTTATGGGGAATAAATGGGATGGAAGAATCTTTATACTATAACTTACATATTCACAGAGCAGAACATTTACTTAACGTTTAAAATACTTCCCATTCATATTATGTTTCCCCACTATTTTCTACTTTGGACCCCAACAGAATTACACATTACTCATTTCAGTCTAGAAGAGAATAAGATGTATTCAGTTCTTAAAAACAAACCCAAGAACTACTCATCTGTCAGGTTTACAGTGATGTGGAATCTACCAATGATGTATTTGGATAGAAAAGATTATACAATTCAATACCCATATGATTCAATCTCTGTTTCATCCTGCAGAAACAGTGTCTAACATTAATCCATTGTTGTATTGAAATAAGGGATAATAAAGCTGTCTCTTTAAATATATTTTATATATATTTTATATATATATATATAAACTTTGAACAGATGGAGCACCATTAAGATTCTATCTGTCAAAGCAATTAAGTTTACCACACAACTACCATAATTTAGTTCTCAGATATAAAATAGGAAAATATACTCATTTTAAAGTTAATAAACTCAAATATGGTGACCCCTCAACTTATAATACAGTACTATCACACTGGCCTAGCTATGTATTATGATAAATGCTGTGCATATTTATTCATTGTGACATAGTAATATATTGAATGCAGTGTCTAAACTTCACATAGCTCACTTGCATTCAGGCTAGATGAAGCTGAGAATTCTAAGCATAAAAAAGGTGCAATACCCTCCCTTCCCTCAGAAAAAAAGGCCTGAAATCATTGGTACAATATAACAAGTTTAGAAAAGATTTATGGCTACAAAAATTCAAGTTTCAACATCTCATCCAAAAACAGAAGCAAAGAGCATTGGGGATAAATAGCTCCAGCAATTATACTAACAAATATTTTTAAAAAAAGAAGTTCCAGCAAATTAAGCTGCCAAGTTAAACGTAGTTTGTTTGGTATATAAAAGAACCCCCAAAATAGGAGAGAAGCAAAGATTCATTTTGTGTTTACTTTAATGAAGAGCAATGGGGCACAAAAAAGAGACAGCCTTATGTCTAATTTTCCACATAACAAAAACTAGACAAAAGCAGACATATTGGGCTGGACTATTAAAATCAAAAATATCAATTACACTCCTTTTCAGATTCTAGGACTCTAAGCTTTGTGATGGATTGAGGTATACAGTAGTGAATAAAAATGATAGCCAATAGAATAGTGCTAACAAAACATAAATTAAAATATGGGCAGCCATGCCAAAAAGTGTCTAACAAAGTTCTTTAAGTGACAAGGAGAACATTTCTTTCATTCCAATCACAATCTTCCTTGCAGTTTTCAGTCATTATTAACATTTGGTGAGAGCTGTAGCATTTTGCAAACTCAAAGTACTGAAACCTAGTGAGTCAGGAAATTAAATATCAGTGATTAAGTTTCCAGGATTTGTCAGCTATCATATCCTGACAAAATTAAGTGACATAGATTCATGTCATCAAGAAGCTGATGTTTAAACTATTAAGGGGAAGGGCAACGGCAAGAGAGGTGAGGTAAAGCCTCCTTTTAGGAAACACGAGCCACTATCCCAGACTAGCCACGTTTGTTCACAAACTATGATTGGAATCAAGGGAGCCATCTCCAAAAATTGCAATTTATTTCATTCATGTTAAGGGACACATGAATGATTAATACAGGCATAGTTAGTACTATGCCTGTTTAGGACCCAAACGGCAATATCCTATAAATAATAAAAATACATTTTACTTTGATAATTGACTGTAGATGTGAGGACTCTATATAATTCAACCAAATGGCTGTATGCTGTACAGTCCTGTGCAAATATCTTTAAAAAAATTAATAATCCTTTTTTGCTATAAGGCTTTGACCCTATAATTTTCACAGCAACATAACTTTCATCCAGCCTGTACCATATTTTTTCCAAGCCTTCAGTCCAAAAATTCAACATGGTCAGTCTGTATGACGTCAAAATAAAGCATCTATAAGATCAAATCCCCTCAGTCTTCTAAAGGCACACAGACTTCCCCAGATTCATCCCACCGAGTCTGGTCATTCTGTTCTTCTATATCATCAGGCAGCTCTTCATCAGCTTCCCCTACTTCATTTTCTTCAAACTCTTCATCTCTAGGAAAATCGGTGTCCTGTACCTGGTCTACCCCCTCTTGTGCTCCTGGCTGAGATTTATCTGCACAGTCAACACAAACACCATAACGCCGAGATCCATGTCTTATTCCAACACTGGCTGCTAGCATGAAAATTTTCTTACACACCATACATTTGTACTTCTTATCCTTTTTGTGAACCTGCATAAAAGAAGATAGAATCATTACATCAACAGGTTTAATATAGATTCATTAACATTGATTAGGTATTGTAATTAATCCAAATATAGTTATACACAAAGCTAAGATTTTGAATTAAATAGTTGAAAGCCACAAACTGAAACTCCTGCATCCATTTCTGAATTTTGCACTTCATAAGCACTGAAAAGCACAAGAATGTTACTTTGTCCTCATTATACTAGATTTTTCAGCTCCTATTTCTACCTCAGTTCCTTAATAAGTTGAATTAAAATTTATTGTAGGGTGCAATTTAAAACCTAATAGCAAAATTAAATATTACTGATACGTCTCAACAATAGTATTTCCTAAAGCAAATGCTCAGCCAGCCTTTAACAAGCAACACGAATCTCAAGTTTTCTTCAGCTCTTGGAGTTAAAAGGAAATGAACTCTGACACCAACTTTCTTGGCTTTTTAATTACCAGGTACTCATTCTGAGGTTAAAAAAAAAAACCCCACCCTGTATTTCTCCTTGCTGAATCTGAGCTTGGGGGAACAGGTGGGGTACAGGTTTGTATTTATGCCTACTGAAACAAAACCAGAGCAAGACAACACATATTCATCTAAATCTGATTACTGGTTCAACCAGAGCAAAGTCAGACCTCTATTCACACATTTAGACTATCTGCAATAATAGTCTTTCTGAATAGTGAACCAGGAAATGATTTTATTTTTGCACTATATTTCTGAAATGCAACATAAAACCAAGGAGACCACAATGTTTTGATTAGTTATTAAATTCATCTAATATTTGCTAAGTCCTGACTATTAATATTACCTTAACTATTTTATATGAATACTGTAACATTATAATGCAACAGAATACCATGTCTATTAGTATTTAGAAAAAAGTTGGGACAGATTTTTTTCATTAAGCTTTTAATTGTTATATAATTTACGATGTATTAATTTGAATGTTTAAACATATTTTGTTTTAAATGTTTTAAGCCACCTAGAGTGGCTTCCAAAGAAAACATTTTCCTTCAAGGAAATAAAACATATATAATTAATTCAGTATGGTATTATTAAGATGACAGAAACATTTATTCACAGACACATTACAGCTAACTGAAGCTGCAATCCTACACATTTGTCTAGAAGTAAGTATCCCTGAAATTAGTGAGACTTACTTCCAAATGGATTTATCTGGTAAGCAACTGTACAGTAAATATAGATGTTAATTTGATTCTCCAGTAAGACAATATAATCCCAAATATTGTCATAGAGAATGCTGTAGTTTGAGGAGGCTACTTATTTAAGCACTTTAGAAGGTGAAACTGCACAAATCTGACATCAATTAGCATATTAATTCTTTATGAAAGATGACATACCAGGGTAATTTAATACCCAACAAATATTATTAAGCTTTACTGTAGCAAACTGAAGATGTTACATACCAAGGAATGTCTTTTTACATGTTCTCTACGAGTAAACAGTTTTCCACAAATATCACAGCTGAAAGATCTCACTCCTGTATGAATGAGCAAATGTCTCTTTAGTGTTCTTCTATATTTGGCTACATAGTTACAGTGTGGACACTTCAATTTGTTCATGATTAAAGAAGAATCACCTAAAGATCAAAACAGAAGCAATTTAATAAGTTGTCAGATATATTTTTGAAATCATATATATACTGCGCTTACTTCCCAGTACAAAATTAATCTCTGCATAGCCATAACACCCAGATTTACTTCACCAACATACATTGAGTATGTTTACTTACATCTAGTTCATTCACTTTCATTTTTAAGGAGTTAGAACTACTTGAGTTCTGTAAGACTAAGCTTAAGCAGTACATAACAGCAGTTTACCACATGATTGAAATAGGTCAGCAAAAGTATAATTTCCAACTGTTTAGAAACAGACAGTGGTACATGGTAAAGTACTTTCTGGAAAATTTTCCAATGTCTAATTTATCCATTTTTTTAAGGTCATCAGCAGTACGTTGATGACAATTGCAAATAAAGTATAGTGGTTTCAAATTTGGATTAACTGTGTTTAGGTGATTATCCTTATCAAGTAAGCAACAGAAAGTATACAAACTGGAAATTTTCTGATGCAAACAGAAAAATGTCCTAGACAGACTGTCTTATGCAACTTCTCCTAATTTGTAGAGAAAGATTTTCCAGAAATGTTTCTGTTCAAAGTTTGCCAGAATGCTAATAATACTAGCACTGGCAAATAAAAGGCCCTCTAACTAGAAGAAACACACTAATATATTTTTATGTGTAAGCTCAACCAAGATTTTAGGCAAAGCAAATCCTTACAGGTACTGTTCTCAATCTAAAATGCTCAGAACCTCTGCCCTGCCTCTTTGATCCACCATTTTAAATTAA